AGAGCTTATACACGATATAACTTAAAATGCGCCCACGAATATAGCGCTATATAGCATTATTTCTGACAAAAAACTGAATCTAAAACTTAAGAAAAACTTTTCGCAATAGTTAACGTGATATTAATTTGTAAATAGGAACTTTTTGTAATAACGTGAATTTAGATATGGTGAACACTAAAGTTACATTATCCTTTTTTAAATTAATTATTAAAAAGAAGATAACGAAACCTTAGCGTTCATTATATCTGGATAAACGTATTGTAAAAACGATATTGTAAAAACTCCCTAATATTGCTGAATAAGCGGATAAAATTGACGCATAAGACAATTTTAAGAAATTTTTATGAGTTCATCTTTAAGATATTTTATAAAGAACATTAAAAAATATCTAGAAGTTGTCTTATGTGTCAACTTTATCCTCTTATTCGCCAATTCTTTAAAAATTAATGTCTCGTTAACTATTATGAAATGATTCTTAATAGTTTTTTGAATTCAGTTTTTGATCAAGAATAGTGCTATATGATTCATGAGTCCTTTTCAAGTTACACCTGTAACTAAAGTTCAGACATGTCAATTATTTATAGTAAAAACCAACATGGTTTATGCATTTTGTGCATGATTGTATTTTTGTATTACAAGGAAGCTAATATGACTATAATATATATATAGTTTGAAATTTAGTATTTAGAATATTCTTTGATTATTGCATTGACGTTTCAGGAATATGGCTATAATATTTTGTAAATTATCTTGAAAAATAATATAATAATATAATCGTCTCAAGGATTATGGATGGACATCTTTAGAATTCGTATTAGAATGTCTAATGGATGTATGTAGCATAAGAGATGCTTATTTGATAGTTCGCAGGATTTTCTGAATAACAAGTTTTTGGACTATAACAAACAGTTCTTGTGATATCCTACTTAATTAACAGGGACATCTCTGTTTGAATTATTGTACGATAATCGAGTATGCTTTTTATATTTTCAGAGCTATAAAAGAAAAGAGATATAAACGTAAATCCAAAATGCTCTAATATATCCATAAACATCAGAGTATCTTAATATAGTCATCAAATTTCTTCAAATTCTCTTTTAAAATAAATCTGCAAAAAATAGATTAATTAAAAAAAATCAAATATCAATTCCTGATTTTTAAAAAAATTAGTATTTATTTTCACAAAAATTTTGAACATATTTTAATTCGTCTGTTTCTCACAGGAAATGATGTTCAAAATTAATTTTATATATACAGGGATGGTATTCGTATATTATATCAGTTCCATCTTTTTTAACAGAATATATCAAAATGTATTTATGCATATATATTTATACATACGTTATTTTTCAGAAGCACATACATACATGTTTATATATTGATTCAAAAGTATTTGTCCATTCTTTTCTCTCTGTCTTTTTTAATTAAATAAGAGTGAATTGCAATCTTCTTTTCTATTCTTCTATATGTTAGATTTTTATAATATTTCTATTATAAAGATTTATAATAATTCTATTTTTCTATATGTTAGATTAATAGTAATAATAATAATGTTTGATGGTTAAAATTTGACTCTACATATATGTAAAGAGAATAGATTTAAAACTGAATTTAGATATATGAAAAAATACAAAATCGGGGTGGGCAAATACTTTTGCTCAATAGTATAAATATTCTGCCGCATCATCTATCACTTGATATTATCTTTAATCCAGTCAATATATTCGGAGACACGCGTATACACTCCAGGATAGCCGGGTTCTCCACATTTATTTCCGAACGAGACAATGCCAATTTGTGTCCATCGATCCTTAATCCGCAACATCAATGGTCCACCCGAATCACCTTGACACGCGTCCTTGCCACCTTGCTTATAGCCGGCGCACAAAAAATTGTTAGTAATTGGTTGAAGGTAAGCCATGTTGCAATCCTCATTCTTCCACACAGGTAAGACCGCCTGTTGTAGAACGGAGCTGTCTTTTCCACCTGTTATACCGTATCACGGTTACGATAATTATTACAATTATTACAATTAAGAATACGAAGACATAAGAATGGAAATAAGTTCATTATTTACAAGTTTATTAAATTTAAGATTGGAAATTTAATTTGATTTCATGAAATAAATATATTCCATGAAATAAATATATTCCTAACTAATTCTGTAAGATATATAGGATGTCTCATTTTCATTTAAGCATTAAAATACCTCGAAAATAATGTATTTTCGAAAAAAATATGTTAAATAAAAGTTGTAGAAGAGTGTTTGAAGAGGATCAGATGAGCTATTTAGATTTTAAGTTCAGGGCCCACTTTGAATCCAATAAAACTTAGATTGATTTCTTTTCTAGAAACTCCTATGTTTTATTACAGATTCATATTCTATTGGAAAAAATAAGGAAATTTTGTTCTTGGTAATTTTTCGCTAAACTCCTTTCTCCAAGGCACAAAATAGCGTTCAAAGTTCTTATTTTGAAACGTTCCGGTCAATAAAGACAATTTATTGAATCCAAAGTGAACACCGGATCCAAAATCATAAGTAAATCCAAAAGCATAAGTAGCTCATCTAATAGCACCTCTTTAAATCCTAAAATTTTTATTTGAAACATTTTTTTTTTATAATGTTTATAAAATAAACATTATTTTTATAAATGCATTATTTTTTGGTACCTGTAAATTAAAATGGAACAACATGTTATGTACATTGTACATCCTTTTATAAGAGACAAATTATCATGTTTGAGCACATATTAAGTCCTCTTATTTTCTATTTCTTTAAAAAGTTATAGAACTTTAAAAGCAACGCCATTTCAAAGGCTTGTTGTGTTCGGATGCAGAGCGTCCCGCCCGCGTCGCTGCCCTTTCCTATCGATCTAAACGATCCATACCAATCTTCATTAAATTCAAATGAATCCTGTATTACGACTATAAACAACGTGAAAATCGGTTGTTGTCTGAAAAAAGAGAGACTAAATATCCGGTTGGATATCTGGTAGAGCAATTATTCGGCTGCATACTGGATATTTTCTTGGATATCAGGTACAAATTTCCCAAAATCCAGAAAAAAGAAAAGCAAAGGAAAAATAGCGATAATTATTTTCTTAATCTTCTCAAAAAGGAAGGGCAAAATAAAAAAAGCAGAAAATTCAGCTAAAAAGAAAAGAATTCTACATCAATGACGCAAACTTTCAATATATAATAAAATTTTAGCCGGATACTATATACAAGATGTCTCATAAGATGGGTCCGAGCCACATTGGGGGTGAAGAATGGATCAAAGGAAACAAAAAATTCTTATATTATTTTGAGATACTCGCTATATTATATATAGTTTTCGAATTAAAAAGGAAATGTCTAAGCCAATATGCGATTAAGCCGCGCCGCGCGAATTCGTAGGACGGTCCACTCGAGCGGCGGCGGCGGCGGCGCGCAGAGAGAGGGAAGTAGCGCTTTGTTGCCTAGCACAGCCTGGTATGGTGATTCTATGTATCGCGCCGTATCGCGCCTACATTATCCAAAAATGTTATTTTAGCTGAAATTTTCCTTATACATTTCTTATCATTATAAATCGCGTTATTTAGCACGATTAAATACGTTTTAACACAATAGATATGTTAAGCGATGTAATTAATTAGAGCATTACGCAAAGCGTATGCTGATCGTCGCGATACCTTTCCGCTTGCTTTATTATACGATGTTTCTTTTAATTACGCTTCGAGACACACTTCGTCGCATCGTTTTATGCTATATTTAGTCGGAGTTTTATTTTTTGACATGTTAACGCATGTACACTGAAATTATAGTATAAGCTCGTGTAGATAGCCGCTACATTGTAAATCCAGATGTATTATTCCATGTACAATGACGCATTTGACTGAGGTTTTTTTCACATGTTTCTTACCGTTTAACAAGTTTAATTGTACATTAGAAACGTTCTAAAATTTTATTGGGAATACAAATAAGTTTCTGTCGTTTTTTATCAAAAATTAAGCATTTATTGTGAAAAAACGTACATAATGTTTTATTCAAAGTAATGGCCATCGCTAGCCTACTTTTTCCCATCTTTCTGGTAGCATGTGGATTCCGCATCGGAAGAACGCTTCATCTTTTGAGGCTATCCAATCATGGATACAATTTTTGGTATCTTCATATGACGTGAAATGCTGCTCAGACAGGCTATGCGTCATCGATCGGAACAAGTGGTAATCGAAAGGAGCAATGTCTGGAGAATATGGCGGGTGGGATAGAACTTCCTATTTGAGTGTTTCTAAGTAGGTTTTGACCGGCATCGCAACATGTGGTCGAACATTATCATGCAGGAGAATAATTTTGTCATGCCTGGAATAGCAGTGGCACGTTTTTCCTTGAGTGCTCGGTTCAATCTCATCAATTGTGTTCGGTAGAGAGCCCCAGTAATGGTTTCGTTCGGTTTGATTAATTCATAATACATGACACCAAGCTGATCCCATCAAATACACAACATGAGTTTTTTTACACAACATGAATATTCGGCTTGGCTGTCGATATTGAAGCATAGCCAGGTGGTCCCCATGATTTCCTCTTCTTTGGATTATCGTAGTGAATCCATTTTTCATCACCATACGATGCAAAAAACCCTTTCATTTATGCCTGGCAAGCAGCATTTCACATGTGAAAAATCGGCGTTCAACATTTCTCGGCTTCAGTTCATATGGAACCCAATTCCCTTGCTTTTGAATCATTCCCAATTTCAAACGATATGAAATTATTTGTTGAGTCACTCCTTATGTAAGTGCAAGTTCTTTTTGCGTTTGGCATGAATCTTCATCCAATGCTTCCAATTTCGCATCTTCGTACACTTTTGGCCTTTCGCTACGTTCTTTGTCTTCGATGTCAAATTCACCGTTCTTAAACTTTTGAAACCACTCACGACAACTTCTCTCACTTTAAGGCAGCACCATATGCTTCTACAAGCAATCTATGAGCCTGAGCTGCAGATTTCTTCAAATCATTAAAGAAGTAAATCAAAAGTTCCCGCAAATGATGCTTATTCGGCTCAAAACTCGACATTTTCGTACAAAAAAAAATATATGATGCTGATACAAAATCGCTAATATTTCAAGGTTATAGTGTTGCCGGATGTCTAATCTTACGATATATCGTTTTACATTAAACAATTTTAACTATAGTTTATTAGTAGCGCCGTCTTTTATAAACGGCGGAAACTTATTTGTACTCCCAAATATAAATCTTTAATATTAATGTTTACTGACGAATAAAATTTAAATTTTCTGTGATTGAAAAGATTATTTATCTATACGTTAATGAGATGTTTAAGTTTGTAATAACTGAAAACTTAAATGTATTGAAAAAACAATAATTGAAAATTGAATGTTTTAGTTTATTTTCATTAAACTATCCATCAAATTTAATGCCCATGTTCATTACATTAAAAATTGTTCATTACATTAAAATGTTCATTACATTCATTACATTAAAAAAATCTGTAACTTATAAGGAAAGGGATCCAACTGCTCCTCTCCGATTTTAATGAGCAATATGTTATTCTCCAGACAAAAATAAACGACCTCAAAAAAAAACCTCAGTCAAATGCGTTATTGTACATGGAATAATACATCTGGATTTACAATGTAGCGGCTATCTACACGAGCTTATACTATAATTTCAGTGTACATGCGTTAACATGTCAAAAAATAAAACTCCGACTAAATATAGCATAAAACGATGCGACGAAGTGTGTCTCGAAGCGTAATTAAAAGAAACATCGTATAATAAAGCAAGCGGAAAGGTATCGCGACGATCAGCATACGCTTTGCGTAATGCTCTAATTAATTACATCGCTTAACATATCTATTGTGTTAAAACGTATTTAATCGTGCTAAATAACGCGATTTATAATGATAAGAAATGTATAAGGAAAATTTCAGCTAAAATAACATTTTTGGATAATGTAGGCGCGATACGGCGCGATACATAGAATCACCATACCAGGCTGTGCTAGGCAACAAAGCGCTACTTCCCTCTCTCTGCGCGCCGCCGCCGCCGCCGCTCGAGTGGACCGTCCTACGAATTCGCGCGGCGCGGCTTAATCGCATATTGGCTTAGACATTTCCTTTTCTAATTCGAAAACTATAGCGAGTATCTCAAAATAGTATAAGAATTTTTTGTTCCCTTTGATCCATTCTCCTCAATGTGGCTCGGACCCATCTTATGAGACATTCTGTAATAATGATATTCGACTATCCGTCCGAATAGTAAAAAAAATACCAGATAATACAGGATATCGGATATTTTCCGGATATCCGATATCTCTGATTAAATCGACATTAATCTATCACAGTTGAATATGAGAAAAATAATCGACTATGATTTGTCAATTTCCTACGACTTAAGATTCCATGATCGTCTACGACTCCCTGTAGACTTCACATAAGGATAACTTTGAACTGATTTTATAAATATATTAAAGCTATCTGATTTTGTTTTATTGAAATTCTCTTTATTTTTAAAAATATGCAAAAAACATTAACATATAAAACGTGTCATTTCTCGTTTGTGACATCACAATTCAATATAGCTGCAGTAACAACTCAGGAACCTTAAATATAATATTTCGTGGAAAATAAAATTTTTTATATTTCTCTTCGTACAGTCTCAAAATGACAAATGTAAATTTACAAAAATTTACTGTCTATCTATTTTTTTATCTTAGACAATTTATTGAAGATAAATAAGATCTTGACTACTGCATGCAGGCATGCGCGAACTGCAATGATTATTTATAAGATGCTATTATTATTCATTAATTATTTTATTATATTTGTTGTAACTTTATCTTAATTTTATTATTAAAAATACATTTTTTTAAACAAAAAGAACACAACTTGCTTCTTTGAATAAAAATTTAAATAAAAATTTTTATAATGTTGAGAAATATTCTATTTTTCGATTCGTTTTTACAACCTTTTAATTTGTATTTAAATTTTGACTTGATTAATTTTATTTTAGTGATTCTGATAATAAAATTGATTAAGAATTTAAATTGATGATAGTCAAGATCAGAAGATATATCTGAGATGTTTCAATTACCGTAGTAAGTGTTGCCCCAACCGGCGACCGTTGGTCTGGTGCCGACCAACAAATCTCCACGAAACCGTGGCAAGCAAATGGGTATCACATATGGCGATCTTCTTACGAGGCTGGTGAGTTCGAGGACGGCGATATCGTTGTGAAAATTAGCACGTGAAAATTTTCGATGCGCGTGAATTTGCTTTACCGCATAAGTCGCTGGTGATGAGGGCTCATCATCGTTTTCCAGATCGATATCGCCAAGACGCACAGTAAACTGGCGAGCAGAGAAGCTGTAATCCATCAAAAATTTTTTTTTAATACTTACGTAAAAGTATATTTGAGACAAAGCATTATCAGTACCAAAATCGTATAAATGCATTTTATTATATGAATGGATTATAAGTGCTGTGTTTTACATATTAATAATTTTTTTTTAAAATAAGCATAAAAATGTTGATACAAAAATGAGTGACAACTTAATCATTTTGGTTTAGGCTTAAATGTTTTAAAATTTTAACTATTTTTTTTTAAATTAGAACTTAATTAAAATTTTTGCGAATCCTGATGGAAAAATTTTAATGAAATCACTGGTCAAAATTCTGCAAAACTAACATAAAATTCATTGCAATATTATTAATTTCATTAAAATTTAATTAAAATTTTAGGAAAATTTTTGTACAGAATTTTTATATAGAGAACTAAAAACTATTTTCAAAAGGCATATCTCATTTACATTCGTCTTTGAACCTATAATTTATATTCAAGGAACAATTTCATAAAATCAGTGAAAAGTCTCATAATGTTGCACCTTTTATCATATGCTGAGTAGTTTTCTTCTTAGGAGAAATTGAACTTCGATGTCCTTCTGGTGGCAGTACCGCGTATTGGCTGTGGAATGACCAAATAACGACATTTCGTAATTTTTTGGAATTTTTGATGAGGTTGCAAAGAAAAATGCAAATACTATGTAATAATAAACAAAACATCATAACATTGTTGAAATTGTAATGAGTTTTTGATAAAATTGCAATAAAAAAACAAAGATACTCTTTAATGACAAATTAACGACATTTTGTTTTAATTGTAATACATTTTTGATGAGATTGCAACGAAAACGCACAGGTATACTAGCACCTGCATTTTTTGTTGCAACTTCATCAAAAATTAATTATAATTTTAACAAAACATCGTTAATTTATCGTTACAGATTATCCGCGCGTTTTCGCTGCAATCTCATAAAAAATTCAATCTCATACAATTTCAACAAGGTGCCATTAATTTATCATTACAGAATATTTGAGCTTTTTCGTTGTAATTTTATCGAAAATTCATTATAATTTCAATAAAATGTCGTTAATTTGTCATTACAAAGTATTCGCGCGTTTTCGTTGCAACTTCATCAAAAATTCATTACAATTTCAACAAGATGTCGTTAATTTGTCATTATAGAATATTTGAATTTTTTCGTTATAGTTTCAGTTTATAAAAAAATTATTATAATTTCTATAATATTTCCTTACTTTTTTGTAAACAAAGTTAATTTTTTATTGAAATTTTATTTTCATTGGATTCTCATTAAAATATTATTTGTTTTTCATTAAACAAAATTAAAGAAAATTATCTTCTCAGCAAAATATAATTAAAATTTCGTTGTATAATCAATTTCAAATGTAATGAAAAGTCAAATTAATCGAAATTTTATCAAAGGAGGACGAAAACTCGTCGATTTTTGTCCCCAAGCAGAAATTGAAATGGTTTTTTTTTTATAGTTTTGGAATAATCAGTTTTCCATAAATATAAAGGAAACATAAAAAGAATTTCTTATAAAAATTTTAACTAAAGCAAATTTTAAAATTTTTAGAAAAGATAAAAACCTGAGTAAACTATTTGTAAATTTGTTTTTTAATTTCTGATTAAAAAAAATAAGAATTTGCGTAGATTAAATGTTGATAGAATGTTGCTTACGGTCGCTGATGCTGATCAAGCGTGCAATGAGCAGCGGTGAGGATATGGCGTGGTCCTATTAATGATCCTCCGCACCAGAATTCCGTTCGCCGGAAGCCATGAAGGAAGATCGCCGCCATCCAAGGCCAACGACCAGATGGCGCATCTTCTCCCCCGACCACTCGCCCTCGACCACCTGAATATATCATCCCGCACTCTAGACAGATCAGTATTCTTTGTTTCGAAAAAGCTCTTTCACAAATTTTTATCTATCTATCTATCTATCTATCTATTTAGCGAGAAGTACAAATAATAATAGAAGAGTAAATAAATTATTCGATAAAATTCTCTTTTAATCGGTTTTGCCGATTGAATATTTTAATAAAAAAATTACACTGAAGTACCATTATCGTCTTGAATAAAATTGTTGTCAATTGTCGCTATTGTTTCGAAGTCACTCGTATTATTGACCAACGAGACTGGCGACAGGACAGTATGCGTTGTAGGTCTTGTCGTCGAGGATGTCACTGGGTAAAGCGGTATTGGACGTGGTGTAGAGGTTTTCGTTGGCCGAATCGTTGGTCGTGAAGATTGTCCAACATTGATCCCGGAAGATACACCTCCAGTGATACTATAATATTCATTCATTTAACAAGTACCCTACCTTTATGTTTCTCGCCGATTTTATTAAAATTCATTGTCAATAAATTTGTAGAGTAATAAAAAATAATAAAATATATTATTTTATATCAGCAAAAATACAGGATAAAATGATCCCTTGTATTTATAAATCAGTAATTAATTTATTGCATTTAAGCTTAGGTATTACAGCTATTTTTGAATCTTAGCGATATGACAAAAAAATTTTCATATTGCTGAAAGGAAATTAAAAATTGAAATTATAGAAATAATAATTATAGAAATTATAGAAATAAAAATGGCGGATACAATATGGTGACTTGATAAATTCCAACAGTCTTATCTCGCTCTTTATAGAATTTAGGAATAATCAACAAGGAGGTAGTGAGAGACTATCCCTATTTATTGTATTTTTTTGCCGGTATAAAGAAATATTGTCTATTATTTTTTATTACTCTACAAATCTACTAAATTTCAATAAAATCGGCGAGTAAAAAAAGATAAAATTATTTGTAAGTTTCTAATTGTAAGTCTTTTTTACACGAGATAAAAGATATTTAATGTTAATAAAGTTCTCCTAAAAATTAATAAAACGGATGATTAGACAGAAACTTGACTTTAATGAAGAATTTACTTAGGAATAGAAGGATTGTTGATTTTGTCTACTGGGCAGCAAACTCCTGGCACAATTAGCCTCTTAAAGCACCACGAGAGCCTCAGCTTATTAAAATCAAGTAACAATTGCGGGCAATTACTGAGATCCTGGCACTTGCCAGATCCACCGTCAGCAGTCGTGCATACAGATAAAGAGGACTCCTCTCTCCTGTCTCTGTTTACAAGTTCTTCCCCAGACTGTTGTTGTTGGATCGACGGCGTTTGTGTAGAAGACGTGATTGTTTGCCTCAGTGGTAATGCAACGCTACGTACTAAGGGCGCTATACTATCCGTCACATTGCGACCTGGAAAAAAGATTCAAGGAATTCGTGTTTAGAAGTGTACATGTAAAAAAATATTAGAATTGTTTAATTCTATGATATTTATGTGATAAAAATCAATAAAATTTGATAAACCTTTTCTTAGAATTTTACATATAACTTTTTAAAATTTCAATATTCAAAAATTTTAGATTATTTTTATATATATTTA